GAAGCCTATGGGTACATGGAGCGGACCCTTAGAGGAGATTCGGATTCAGGGCTTCCGAAGTTCTGGTTGAGGTGGCTTCGGTTCTGGCTTCATCCTCTAACAGTCTTTCAGTGCATGTGTTTGGTTTTTAAGGGTTCGGGGCTTCGTGTTCGCATACTTCACAACGACGGCGCTTAGAATGTATACGGACCTAACAGAAACGCAGGCACACATATATTAGAGTTTAAGCCGTCCAAGGTAGGTTTAGGGATGGAGTGTGTCCCCTAGAAGGTATCTCGGCTGGAAAACGAGCTGGACCAACAGATGGCGAGTGCTGCAGCGCGGCAGCTGCCCCTGCAGGCGCCGGCGTCGCAGTTCGGAGCCCTTTTTTCAGACCCCGCACGACTTCAAAAGCAGCTATGGCGTCGCAGTTCGGAGCCCTCTTCAGACTCCGCATGACTTCAGCAACAATTTCGCGCAGTATGGCAAGCAAGAGCGCAAGATAGCGGCATCAGGATGCCGAAGGGTAGTTGTTGCGGTCTTAAGGTGGGTTTCGACCAGTGCGGCAGTGCGGAAGTACGTTGTCTTGATGCTTCGAATCACTGTTGCAGCGCTGCCGTGTGTGGGTTTCCTTACTAGCAGCTACCTGGGACTTTGCCCATGAAACGACATGGCGTTTCGCTCCTGTCAGGCAGTTGCTTTCCTCGTGGCAGCTCTGCTTGCGCCATTTCTCTGAGGAGGAAAACAGACAGAGGCTCCGGACGTAGTAGGCTGATGTACAGCTGAACTGCTGCAACCACAACGTGGCGGTGCTGCAGTGTAGAGCCAAATCATCCTGAACAGCGGCTTCAGGGTATTTAGCCATGTTTTCCAAAGCAAGTATGGCAGTGTGTTGAGTTGTTAAGACTGCCGGTGCGGGTGTCTCGGCCTTCATAAGCACTCATCAGACCAACATCAGCCACTGCCGCTGCTGATGTTGGTGCTGAGCGGACAACCACAAACCTAGGTCAAATAACATAATACAGTATTGTATAGTAAGATGTCAAAACTTGCCTATATATACAATTTATTTATTTATTTATTTATATTTATACTTATATTTATGTTTCTATTTATATTTATGTTTGTACTTATATTTATATGTATTTATTTTTGTATTCATTTGTGTATTCAAATTTGTATTTATATTTACATGATATCAGAATAACTAGAATACAAAAATATGAAGCCCTAGAGCAGGATCTCCACAGCCTCAGAGCTCCCGGCGTCCAGGTATGTCCATGAGCTAAAAGAGCCCAGAGACTCCAAAATCCCTTAATTAAGGAATATTCCTTAAATCATGTCAGGGATCCTACTAGAATTTAAGGTATATGCCTTAATAGGGGGGTTATGGAGTCTCTGGGAGGTTCTGGGAGCCCTGGCCGTCTGCAGTGCATTTAAACGATCATGGGACTTAGTAAGTAGGGTTAGAAGTAAGGTAGCTACAGTTATAATTACTTATAACCACAAGTAAGGTACTTTTAACCCTACTTATTAAGTCCCATAAGTGCATGGAAGATTGAGACACCCCAAGCTTTTCGAGCACTTGTAGCTCACCCAGGAGTTTCTCAAAATAATGGCCGGATGAAACACGCCTGAAATCTTGTAGTCATGAGCATTCAGAAACCTTCAAACGGAGGACCTCAGAACATGGGACCTCAGAATTTGTTGAGGAAACATTGCAAGTTCTAGCGGAACGCTTCTAAAGTCCGGTTATACTAAAGAGCCCTTCTAGCCATCCAGAGACTCCAATATCCCATAATTCAGGAATACTCCTTAGATTATTGTAAGATCCCTTATATGTTTCGATGAATCCTCTTTCATCAAGGGATATTGGAGTTTCTGGGCATGTTTTGAGGAACTCGCATCTCCTTCAGTTTTGGCTGTCCTGGGTTTCTGGAGTGTCGGATTGAAGCTCCTGCCTAGAACAGATTTTCCGCCAGAGTCCGGGCGAGCAGTTGAGAAGAAGACTTACACCAGTTTACTATGAAGGGCTGTCCTGTCATAAGGAGCCTATTATGCAGGATGCTATATTAGGGTCCCCTATTTTCGGAAACTCCCATACATTCAGGATCTGGTCAGGTAGCCCCAACATGGAACTACAATGGCGACTGCAGGGATAGTTCATGATGGGTTGAAGGGGTTACTTTGCCGAAGGGAGACTTTTAGTTCGTGATTTTCTTGCATGGTGAATTGAGACAGGTGGAGCTTTTCCCTGAGGGTTCATGTATGCAAACAGCACACACTTTGGCCCTGAAGTACCCGTATATGGGTGGTTGTCAGAATTAGGGTCCCTTTTTGGGTACCCTAAATATTAGGTGCCGTACTATTTTAGGGACCCCCAAAAGGGACCATCATATTGACAACCACCCATATACAGTAACCCCTTTCAGGCCAAATTCCATACTAGGCACATGGACTCTGAGGAGTTTCGAGTGTGCGATTAGTTTTCCCGGGAGAGAGAACCCTAAGCTCTACGCCCTAAGCCCTAAACCCTAAACCGTAGAATCCTGAGCCCTGGACCCCGAAGACCTAAATCGAAACCCTGAGCCCTAAAGTCTAAGGAAACTATAATAAGAAATCCGAGAAGGAGGTTTTCTAAGGTCCAGGTAAACCCTAAACCCTACCCCCTAAACCCTAGACAATAAACCCTAACCCCTATCCCCCTAAACCCTAAACCGTCTAAACCATAAGACCCTCGAACTGGTTCGCCTGGAGCCCTGGCTTCATCACGGCGCTTATGCCGTGGACTGCGTCGCCAAACCCTTCTCTGCGGCAAGCTGAAAACAGACTGCACCGCGGCTTCCAAAACCCCAAACCCCATAAACCTTAAACCCTGAACCCTAGACCCCAGATCCTAAACCCTATAAACCTCAAACCTAACCGCTTCGCTCTGTTGCCCTTGCCGTTGTGTTTGTTGCGGTTCCTCCTGAGTGCTGTTTAAAGCCGAACAATACGCTGCACGACTTCACAGGAGAAGGTGCCCTTCCAGGTGACGGTTGAGCCTGGCACAGAGGAGCCGAGCTTAGGGTTTAGTAGGGCGTAGGGCTTATGGGGTTAGGGGTTTAGTAGGGGAGGCTTGATTGGGTTTGGGCTGCTGTAGATGCGAGCTTGGGCAGGCTACAATGTAACAGGGACCTGCTCCGAAAATCTAGGCACCATGTTGGGGTTGCTCTGAATTGCCGTTCAAAGTGCACATGATAGTCCGCGGATATCCAAGTAAGGACTCTCCGTTCGAACGGCCAATGAGTCCTATAGCGACATTCTGCGATGCACAAATGCTTAAATCCCAAGCTACGAAGGCCCTGCGCACCAAGCGTCCTACAAAGCGCTGCCATACGACCCTGGAGCTCATCTTAAGCCGAAGAGTACCTCAATCCCCTCCAAGTCCGGAACCCTGGACCCCAAAACCACAGCCATGGATCGTACCGTACCGTAGTACCCCACACCCCACACCCCTACCCTAAACAAGCAACCTGAAAGGAGCCCTTAAACGAACCCTTGGAAGATCCCTTAAAGGAACCCCAAAACTCAAAACCTTCAAGGGCTCCGAGAAGGGGCTCCTTTTAGGGCTCCTTTAGAGGACGGCGCCGAGTTCAGATTCCCAGGCGCCTCAGACGAGGTGTCTGCGGGGGCTGTTAGGAGTCGAGGATTTAGGATTACCTAGACCCCCCAATGGCCCTTTAATGGAGCCGTTATGGTCCGTAGTAGTAGGTATTTTTGGGTATAATAGAGGGTAGTTGGGGGGGTCTAGGTAGGGGCCTCAATAATTAGAATAGGTTTTTGGAGGTCCATGCAACTACAAATATATGATATAAAGGCCCCCTAAACCCCAAACCCTGAACCCTAAACCCTAAACACTGCCCTATCTTAGGATCCTAGGGCTTCTAAGGGGATTCTGAAAACTTTGTCATGGCCTCACCAGGCCCAGGGCTGTTTTGGGGGCATGTGGGGGCTTTGGCTTTGGGGTTCAGGAGGGGTTTTAGGAGTCGAGGATTTGAGTTTCTAGAGTTTCCATTAGGGGTTCTGGTTCTAAAGGGTTTTTAGGCTTAAGTGTCTAGAGTTTAACCAGGGATTCTGATTCCACAAGTTCCCCACTAGGGTTTTGCAGGAGGTTGGGGCTTTCATGTTCTTCGGGCTTTGCAGAGTTGTCGAGAGAGGTGGTTCAGGAGGGTATTCTTGGCTTCAACATCTAGGGGGCGTAAAGAGTCGATGATTGCTTTTGTTTTAAGACGTGGGAGGTTTTGGGGTTTAGGCCTCTGCAGGGGTTGTCGAGCCTTTGAGTTGCGGATTTGGCTTCGGCATTTGCAGTTTAAGGGGCGCGCGCACGACTGGGTTTCAATTTCAGAGGTTGTCTACACTAAACCCCAAACATCAAAACCTTTTCCTCAAACCCTGAAGCCTGAAACCCAACCGCTGCAAGACCCTTATGATAAAATCCATAGAGCCATCCCTTCTAGAACCCTTGAGGGAACCCTCTAAAAGGAGTTTAAAACAACAGAATCCCTAAATCCTAAACCCCAAACCCGAAACCCTAAACCCCTAATTCCTAAACCCTACCTAAACCCTAAACCTATCCTATTCTAGTTGGCAGAAAGAAAGCCATGGAAAGATGGATCTCTTAAAGTATCCTTAAAGGAACCCTTGGACCCTTGGGGATTAGCAGAAAGAAAGCTATGGAAAGGCCCCGGGTCACGAAGCTGGCGACTTGATCATCACCGTGCGAGAAGCCTCGCCTCGACCTTAGGTTCACGCCACTTTTTTGGGGGGGATATCTGCATCTGCATCCATATATTTCTATCGGTATATGTATACACATATATATATATATATATATATATACATACATTTACATATGTACATATATACATACATACATATATATATATATATATATATATATACACTTTCTTTCGGATGGCTTGTGTTCGGTGAACGCGCCACATGCACATAAATTCGGTGAGACGAAAAGAAACTGGGGCTCAAGAACCAGGCGAACGGAGGCCCGAGGCGGTCTGTACAAAACCCGCACGCAGGAGCCAAGCACTAGCCGGTTCGAGCTCTGCCAGTGCAGCAGCAGAAGCGTGGAGACTCACAGGGTGTGCCGCAGACGTCTGAGCGAAGGCCCCCAGGACATCACAGCTAGCCTCAAACCAACGCATGAACCCCGACGCCGCAGCCAAAGGCAAGCTGCAAGTGAAGGGATACACATATCCCTTGAGCGGGGGGTCCTCAAGTCGGAACACGGCCACATCCCCGGTCAGGACGAAGGGAAGCTGGCATGATGGCCGCCAATCAAGCCCCGCAAAGGTATCCGCACTCTCTCCTGAGACACGAGAAGCGCGGAACTCTTCGCAGCACGGCTGGGGATCAAGCATCAGCTTCACGTCCTCCGCTACCTCCGCCACATCAGGGACAACGCACGGTGTGGACGCCCATAAATCCACCGTGGCACGGAGTACCGAAAGGGGTTCGACGAAGTCCTTGATGGTACTCCAAACCGTGTCACAGTCAACGCGGTCGAGGGTAAGCAGAGCTTCTAACAGGCCCTTGTGGTAGGTAGCGGGGTCAACCTCAGCAGGGCCTCCAGACATCACACCCGGTACACGAAAAGGGAGAGCCAAGGCATGCATGTCAGGAAGGGACGCCGAGTCTGGACGGAATGAGCCCCAAGCTTTCCGGCAAGGGGACACTGCTAAGGAGGTGTCGACGGAGCCGTGCCGGCTTGGCGAAGCACTTGCCACAACCCAGACACAGCCGGTCGTGGGCCCCAGCCATCTGGGAAGTGACGAGCCGATAACCGTGCTTCTTAGAGGCATGGCAAGCCCAGGCGGATCTGGACGTGAAGGCCATGCAGCAGATCAGGCATGCCTCGGTGAAGACCTCCCCGCTATTGGCAGAGGGCGCAATGGGCACGCCCTCAAGAGCATGGAGGCCTCGAAGGAGCGCCCTCAAAGCGGCATACCCGGAAGTCCGCAAGATAGCGAGGCCCCGAGCCCGACGCACTAGCCCCTTGAAGCGACCCGGCGCCTGGCACATCAGAGAGGTCCACGGCTCTGGCTCGGTGTTGGGACACGGCAGGTCGGTGGTGCGGTGAACCCAAGAGTAAAGCCAAGCCATCGAGGACTGGAGAGCTCGGAGGTACGGCAAATCCAACCGCACCAAGGCCCACAACTCGCTCGGGGCCCCCGCCACTAGCTGCCGCAGATATCTGAGCCTCTCAACATGAAGGACGGTATCCGCATCAGGCTGCCCGACCAACGAACAAACCTCAGCAGTAGACAGATGTTGGTCACTGTCCTTTGGGACGGCAAGGGTCATATATATATATATATATATATATATATATATATATATATACACACATACATACATACATATATATATACATATACATATACATATACATATACATATACATATACATATACATATACATATATATATATATATATATATAGATACACACACACCTAAATCTACATATTTTCATGAACACATTTATTTGTTGTTCGACGCCTATGTATATAATAATATATATATATATATATATATATATGTGTATACTGAAAGCGTCCTGAGAAGCATGAAGAATGTACTGAAACTCGCTTATTTCGCTCGAAAAACACGGCCCTGCATTCCGACGCACTCTCTCTCTCTCTCTCTCTCTCTCTCTCTCTCTCTCCATATATATATATATATATATGTATGTAGTTATTTATTCAGGTACATGTTTGTTAACTATGCTTTCGATTAAAGTGATAACGCACAGACACACATGTCATTATATATTCATGATCCTTGAAGGGACCTTTAATGGAATTGGGGTTTCGTGGTTGAGGGTTTTAGATTTAGCACTTTAGGGATTGAGGGCTTTGGGTTTTTAAGGCCTAGTGCCTAGGATTCTTCTTCTTCCAAGGGTTCCTACAGGATATTTGCTGGAGGCACTTGGATTCAATTCTAATAAAGTGCGCTAGGGGTATGGGGCTTTTGAGCTTTGGGGTTTCGGTGTTTAGGGTTTGGGCTTTAGGGTTTGGCGTGTTTAGGGTTTAGGGTTTGGGCAGGTTTCGAGCACATTTGGTGATCAACTGCCGTTGGATGGTAGGGATTAGGCTGTGTGTGGTGTGGGATTTGGGGGAGTCCATAAGGGCGACTATATGAGATCTTCAAAGGCAGTAGTAAACCCCCAAAAGTTCGAAACCGTATTTATGGATAAGTAGTGCTGGGGTTCCCTATGCTTTACTCTTAAGGTTTGAAGCTACTGGGTTTCCAACTGTGAGGCTTCTACTGCAAGGCTTCGGGTTTAGGCTACTGCAAGGCTTCGGGTTTAGGCGGGAGCCAGCTCAAACCATTTCGGGCTTCAGCTTTTGCTGGCTGGTAATCTGCAAGGCTTTGGGGTTTGGTGGTTTAGGTTTAGGGTTTAGGGTTTTCGAAGGGTAGTAGCCCCAAATCGTAAAACACCTTGAAGCTTAGAAAGCGCAGGCGTTGCATCCTGTACGGACATCAGAACAAGGAGCCCTGAAAGGTAGGTTTAACGGCAGAAGGGTCCCTAATTTAACAAAAACAGAAGCGAAAACTAACCCGGGAGTTTCCGCAAATTTGGGTTACCTTATTTTGGGGTCCTTATAATGAGGATCTTACTACTTAGGGCACTATATTAAGGTCCACTATTTTGGGAAACTCCCACCTGGACCTTGACTGCCCTCTGAGGCATCCGACCTTCCAGCGAGTGAAGGACCTGACCACCTCGTCGGCTCTAGGAATTCGGAAAACCCTAAGCCATAAAACCCAAAAACCAGCAACCCTAAAGCCCTAAAGCCTTAAAACCTTCAAACCCCAAAGCCCTAAAACCCTACAGCAGTAAAGCCTTAAAGCCCTAAAACCTCAAAACAGGTAACACCTAAAAACCTTCAAACCCTTCAAGCCCGAAAACCCTACAACCTTCAAAGCCCAAAGGCCCTAAAACCCTAAAACCCTTCAAACCCCGAAAGCCCTAAAACCCCAGAACCTTCAAACCCCTAAAGCCCTAAAACCCTGAAGCCTTCAAGCCCCTAAAGCAACCCTTAAACCTTGAAACCCCGAAAGCCCTAAAACCCCAGAACCTTCAAACCCCTAAAGCCCTAAAGACCCAAAACCCCAAGGGAACTTCAAGGGCCTTGCGAGCTCTATTTTTGTGGCTTCGCGGCCGCCTTTAAGGGCCTTTTAAGGGGCTCTACTTGGAGGTTCATGGGTAGTTATAAGGGCTCCTTTATTTAAGGGTCCCTTTAAAGGGATCTATAGGGAACCCATAAGGTTTCGGGTTTAGGGGTAGCTGTAAGTGGGGTTTCAAGTAGGGTAGCTATACTTATAACCCATATTAAGGGACTTATATCCCCACTTATAGCTACTCATGAACCTCCAAGTATCTGGTTTCCTTTCAAGGGTATTATAAGGGTTCCGTTAAGGGTATTATAAGGAGGGCTCTATAAGGGTTCCTTCAACGGGGCGTCTTGAGGAGTTTCGGGGAGGTGATGAGAGCAGCAAAGAACACTTGGCGTTATAGGTTCAAGGTCGGGCTTTGGTTTGGTATAGCTTAGTGGTAATTTCTCCGATTTCAGCTAGGTAGAAGCTAAGGGTTCAGATTAAAAGCTCAAGTCTTGCAATGCCTGCAGCCTCCAGCGGTCCAGCCAGCTGGGCTGTCAGGTTCTTTTGGGGGTCAGGGCTGGGGGTTTAGAGCTTGGCGCTTGAGGCTTGCAGCTTTGGGGTCTAAACCCTAGACCCTGTAACGTTAAGCAGAATGGATGTTGCGGGGTTGTATAAGATTATGGCCCTGCATTAGCAAATGGGAGACGTTACCTCTGTTACCACGATATGCCTGTAGCATTTCCCCAAACCCAAGAATTACTGGTACTTATAAGTCCCTAAAATAACCAGTTACTAAGTCCCCCGACCCTCCAAGTAGCATTTCCCAAAACCCAAGAATTACTAGATGCAGATGCCGCAGCCGACGAACAACTGGCGGGTCGACTAAAAAAGGTCTCGACGGGCCTGTTTCCGAATGCCAAAGTTGTCACCCAAAGGCTCCAAAGTACCTATACAGTAGAATGTAGGGTTTCTATATTAGGAATTGCTATTATGATTTGGGGAAGTATCCTCCATAACGGTACCTAGGACCCTTAGGGTCATGAAGGACAGCACACATGCAGCTCGCAGGCCTGGGGGAAGGCTGGGAAGCCTTCGTGCTGGAAGGATAGTTCGCTACCTCTGGGTGTCCAAACTTTGTTAAGACGTGCCCCCCACAGTCCTGCGAAAACTCGTGCCAGACCCTTCCAACTTGCAAAAGGGCCGGGAGCAGGTTCGCTCGTTTGCCAGCTCTGTGGACTACAGGCCTCAACCACTGCTTGCAATCGCCATGTGATATTACCATAACTGTAGTACGGAACCCCAAGGAATAGCAACGTCCATGTTATAAGACCCTTATATTAGCCTTGAACCTACTTCACTAAAGGACACTAGGTTTCCTTCGTCCCAAAGCCCTGTATCCTAAACCATACTGCAAAGACTCTACTGACAAGACACCCTAAACATGGCATCCATACATCATAGTTGTCAGGATAACTAGGACCCAGAGTAGGCCCTATTCCCTTTTTAGGGTTTAGGTTACCTTATAACTCCCTTTAAACCAAAAAGGGCACCCTTTTTATTCCTAGGTTTCTCTTAGGTCTAGATAAATCGGCCCTTTCATGCTAAATCCGAAACCATACAGTAAATCCCATAAAGTTGGAAATCAGATTACGGCCAAATAGTGCTGAGATTCCCTATATATCACTCTTCAGGATTGAGGCTATTGAGTTTCCAACTTTTGGGCTTCTACTGTATATGACATCTGAACATCAGCCTTAATCCGAGAGCCTAAACCGACCCCTCAAAAGGATCCCTTAAGAGATACGCGGCTGCCCCTAATCCCTAAACCCTGAAACCCCGGACCCTACGACTCCGCGGAGGACTCCTTGGTGGTCAAAGCAGATCTGTCTTTAGCCGAATCCCCTGGCTTTGGGGGCTCGGGATTTCTTTACATAAGGGTTCCTTTTAGGGATCTATAGGGGTACTATAGGTTTATAGTGTTTACACATGAATGCAGAGTTTAAAGTTCAGGGCTCAAGGTTCAGAGTTCCGGGTTCAGGGTTTATGGTGTGGAAATCTTTATTCTTGGCCACATGCGGACTCAGGCGCGGAGCCAGACCCTCGGGAGGATCTAGAAAGTAGATCCCCTAATTTTGGGCCCTATACTACTATGGGTACTTTATAGGAACCCCCATTATGGGATCTACTTTTTGGATCCTCCCCCGGGTTCTGGGGAATGAAGTCCTCATCGACCTTCTTTGTATCCGTATCATATATGCAGGTCCCTACCCCTCTTCGCCTGCCGAGTCTGATTTCTGTGACTATGATTTTTTGATTTCTGTTAGTATTATAATGTGTCTTTGGTATCTGTAATTCTTATAATAATACTATTACTGCTGTTTCTTCGTTTATTCTAAACCCTAAACCATTTTTTTTGAGTATTTCTGGCTGCATCTGCAGGCCATTAGTCATTGCATGAAAGTTGCTTGAAGTGATTATGTAGGGAATATAGTAAAAGCCAGAAAGTTGGAATATGTTTATCCTAAACCCTTAATGGTAAGTTATAGGGTATCCTACCCTGAAACCATATTCCAACTTTTTGGAGTTCCCTTTATAGCTTCGGGGTTCGGATCCGGGGCTGTTTACTCTGAGGGCTCTGCGGACTCCGGCTCTTGCCTGTAAAGGGACCTCCAGAAAGTTGGAATATCCTCCTACCATAGAAGGGTTAGGATAATCATATTCCAACTTTCTGGCTTTTACCTGCATGTTGGCAGAATCCTGCTACAGTCGCCTGCAAGACATGCCGAAACCTCCCAGAAGTTGGAACAGTCCTAAGCATCCATGCTATCCCCACAATTAGGTGTAAGAAGCATTCCCCTGTTGCATGATGGTGAACTTCGCTTGGTGCTGTCATGGTGGTACCTATTTTGGACACTGCTGGAAGTTGTGCCCAGGAGTCCTTTGAACAAAACCAACGCCCGATGCTACAATATATAGTAGAAGCCACAAAGTTGGAACATTATAATCCTCGCGCCCTTAAGACGGAGTATAAGGGATCCTAGCACAAGCATCCTAAGCCCATGTTCCAACTTTCTGGGGTTCGCTGTAGGGTACCTAGCGGCTGGTAGGTCTACTGATGTACAGCCTGCTGTGCCAGTTTGCTTACCGTTCATATGGGAGTTTCTGAAAATGGGGCACCTAGTATAGTACCCTAAATA